TTAGGGTTGTTGGGGGAGGGTGGCTGTGGCTGTCATGGTGGTGATGGGTTGGTATTTGTGGGGACAAAGGGGGATATTAATGGGAATGGATCGGAAATGAGAGAAAGACAGTAAATATAATAGAATGAGGCTACAAGAAAAAAGGCCGAGATATAAATAGAAAGTTCAGCTGCTGTCTCAATTGACGGGAGAAGCCGAATAGGTGTCACGGTTCAAACGCCAGCGCCTTGAACGCCACCAGGCTTGCTTGACGAATAATGGGGATTTCAACGGAAGCACTGAAGCTAAAAGTCATTATTTCGGCGTATCTCCAAACACCTAAATATAAAGTTGAAGAGAGCAACGCGAAACCAGGGTCGATATCAAGCCAGAGAACAACTGGATGACAAGTTAAGATCAAATTTCTTTTGTTGCTCTGCGCTGAGTGACATTCTACTTACTACTATACTATTTAAACTGTATCGTGATTATTACCTTCCTATCCGTTACATCCCACTCAAATCTATAAGCGCCTCGAACCAGGTATCTAGGTATCAAATTATTCCTCCACCCCCATTCCCTCCCCCTTCCTAACCCTAAACCCCACCCCCGGCACCCTACTCCTCAACGCAAGACTACTAAGCACCACACTAACACTACTAGCCGCCATCGCCAAACTCGCCCAAACTGGATCCAACCTAACATGCTTCCCCCCACTAACAACCGGGAACAACACACCAGCCGCTACAGGCAGGGCAACCAAGTTGTATACAAGCGCCCAAGCGAAATTAAATTTGATACGTCTGAAGACTACTTTGCTTAGGTCAAGAAGAGTGATGAGGGAAGTGAGATTGCTGGAGACGAGGACGAATTCCGCGGAAGAGATGGCGATGTCTGAGCCGGAGCCGATGGCTATGCCTACGTCTGCGGTGGTGAGGGCGGGGGAATCGTTGATTCCGTCGCCGACCATGGCGATGAGGGCGCGTTTTGCTTCATGTTCGGTGCCGGATGATGTTCGAGCTTTGAGGGATTTTTGGAGGTATTGGATTTTTTCTGCTTTTTGGCTTGGAAGAACACCTGCGATGATGTTGGAGCTGGGGATGCCGACTTGGGCACCGATGGCGTTGGCGGTGATTTGATTGTCGCCGGAGAGCATCCAGACGTCTGTGCCGCGCTCTTGGAGACTTTTGATGATGGATGGGGCTTCTGATCTGATGGGGTCGGAGATGGCGAATATGGCTGCGAGTTGCCATGAGGAGCTGTTCTTGATGGCAGCCAGGGCCACAGATTTCCCTTGAGCCTTCCAGTCGTTTAATGTCGCTTGGGCTTCTTCTCTAATAACAATCTCATTCTCCGAGGTTAATAACTCGTTGCCGATGAGCATTTCCATGTTTTTTCCGGACTTGGTGGAGTGGAAAGATCCTTTCAGTCCCTTGCCAGCGATTTCTTCAGGTGAAGATACTTCCATGCCCGCTGCAGAACTATCCTTGCAAAATGAAGAGAGTGCTTTTGCAATAGTGTGGCTGCTGTTATCTTCGATCGCCTTGACCATTGCCAAGACGGTTGCCACCGAATCCACTTCGTCACCCATGTTCTCGGCCTCGAGAGGAAAGACTTGGTGATCAGTGACGACCGGCTCGCCACCAGCTGTCAGGGTCCCGGTTTTATCGAACACGATGCAGTCAAGTTTACTTGCTTTCTCAAAGGCTTCTCCACCACCTTTGACCAATATACCATGCTGCGCAGCCAAGCCTCCACCAACAAATAATGCAGTCGGTGCAGCAAGACCTAGCCCACATGGACAAGCCACGACGAAGACTGCAATTGCGAACTGGAGAGACCAGGCAACCCAACCGCCAGACTCAGCATCCAGCCAATCTTTTGGCAGCCTTCCGGAAAGTCCCAGTGAAAGCCAGATAATCCAAGTTACGATGGCAATTAGTGTGACCATGGGTGTAAAGTATGCTGTCAATGTGTCTGCCACACGCTGTATTGGAGCACGACGTGTTTGTCCTTCTCGCACGGCTTTGACGATCTGGTCAAGCATTGATGATCCGGGGACACCCGTAATTTTAACAGAAACTGGCGAGTCTTTGTTGACAGTACCGGAGAAGACCTCATCTCCGATTGTCTTCTTCATAAGCTTCGATTCGCCAGTAAGACTTGACTCGTCAAACTTGGTCTCTCCTTGCACGACGATGCCATCACACGGAGGAGAGCTGCCCTGACGAAGTCTGACAATATCTCCAAACTCAAGGTGGTCGACTGGAATTGTTCGCAGAGTCTCGTGTTTCGAACTAGTGGTTATTTGTTCTCCGGTTGTTTTCCCGTCAATCGATTCTGTATCTGTGACGTTTGCCACCACCAACAGAGCCTCTGTTGGTCGTAGCTCCCCAAGCTTGGTCACAGCATCGCCAGTTTTAGTCTTGCTGTACGATTCAATGAGACGACCGATAAGGAGGAAGAGTGTCAAAAAGACGACTGAGTCGAAGTAGAAAGTATTGTTGTTGATCTCAGCAGGCGGATGTACACCCGCAGCGATGAGTTGTGCAACTGAGGAGATGTATGCTATTGACGTCCCGAGCGACATCAGCATATTCATGCTTCCGAAGCGATAGAAGCGTTGCAGTAGCGGTGTTGTACTGCCTCTTCTCCACATTGATCGAATCTCTTTCAGTGCTCGAATGTGGAAAACGTCAGCACATAAGAAGTAGACTGGCGTTGCCATAATGAAGAGCGCCCATTGAGCACGACTGACTCCAGCTCTAAGGGGCTGCATAAGGAACATTCGTCCAGCATTGTGTGATGAGACCAGACTCATGAAAACAATTCCAATGATGAGAGTCGGAATCGCTATGATCAGGGTGAAGAGGACGCGAATTAGTATTCGGAGTTGTTCGCGATGGTGGATCTGTCGTGAGCGTTCCTCAAGGGATGGTGGATGGTATATTGAAGGTTGAAGTGCGGGATCTGCGTCCGATATAGCAGCGATGACGTTCCTAATCGTAAAAGAAGGCACCTCTGGTGAGTAGGTAATTCTGACAATCGGGTCATTGGCGTCCAAAGCCTTGTCGATTTGAACTCGATCACCAAAACCCCCAAGCGCACCCAAGACTCTCCCCGGACAGTGCTGACAGAACATTCCTTGTACCAAAATATCCACTGTTCGGGAAGTGCCCAATATACTCGGTCCTTCGCTTCCGGTCTGAACGATAGTGTCGATGTTCGCATCATATCCAATATCTTCGATGCTCTCAACGATATCATTCTTGTGCTCTTCCCCAACAAAATCGATCGTTGCGCTGTTGGAAATAAGGTTGATAACGACCTCCTCAATCCATGACTTCTTCTCAAGCTCTTTCGTAATAGTACCAACACAGGCCGAACATGTCATTCCCCCGATTGCCAGAGAAGCTCTGTAGGTTTTTGGAGATGCGGAATCGACCACAACCAAGTCTTTCTCCATTTTCTTCTTGGCTTCATCGTGAGGTGCGGGATCTGTGTCTTTTGGCTTTTGTTCAGTACTTTCCAGCCGGCAAGCTTCGCAGTTTTCAAGGTGCTTTGCTGGATATTTGGATTTTGCCGAAACATCTTCATTGGACTGTAGCCTGCTGATGAACCGGTCGAGGTAACCAACATCTTTATCGGCCACGTGTGGTTTTGTTTCTGGGGTTTTAGAGTCTGTTGTACCATCGGATATATCGAAGCCCGCTTGTTCAAGAGCCTTCCGGAGGCTGGTGACGGGTAGTGCTTCCGTGTGTTTGATGGTGACCCATGACGAGAGTAGTGAGGGAGACACGGAGATTGGTTGTGGTTCCAGGCTGAACAGTGTATTCTGTATATGCGAGACGCATGACGGGCAGTGAAGGTTGGACAGGAGGAGTGAAGTGGTCACGGTGTGCGTCATGATGTCTGTGGTTGGTTTGCCAATCCGAGATCTTCGCAACTTGCGAGTATGGGTAATGGGTATTTAAATTCGTGGAAAATTAAAGGAAGGTGCGATCCTTAAGTAGAGAATATTCGAGAACTTACCTCTGGGAGTCACAGACGCACTCGCGCATATTGAATGACATAGTTTCGAAATGGAATGCTGAGAAAGCCGCACAAACACCGCAGGCAAATGAAGTGTTAGGATGTGGCAATTCACGCACAAAAGTCTCAACCCCACAAAATCTCCTCACTTGATTGCTGACAAAGCATAATCAGCCAATAAGACAACCGGTGAATATCAGAGAATTATCGGTCAAAACATTCCCTTATGATGATGGCAAAACACGGCGACTTTGAGGAATTGAAAATGCAATGAGATAGAAGAAATGATAGAGTAAATGCAACATTGAGGTTCGCTCTGAGACTTTATAGTTACTCTTTGTTGAACACTACACACGGACAACTGCCGCAAAAGCTCTCAAATGCACTCAAAGTTACACAAATAGAAGGTTTGGAACCTTCCAACACTATTTGCCTTCTTTGAATGTCGCACTGGTGACACAGCGTTGTCCTCACCGCGTTGGTTGTGGGTATGGACGAGTCACGTGAATGCCACCTCGAGGAGGACTTATAAATAAGCGAGCTGTTATGACGCGAAAAAGAGGTCAATATTGTTAGAGAAACACTTGAAAGTTATGCCTCGATCGTTTGGTAAGTGAACTTCAAATTGGAGCTCTGAAGTGGCATAATAGTGTATGCAGACATTCCGATGGCGAGGAGAGATATACAGATCGTGGAGTCGGACGTTTCTAGATTAGTATTGACTCTGGGTGCTGTCTGCTGGAAACAATAAGCTCTTTTTGTGACAAGAGCAAGTGTGGGGATATCTGGAAAGAAAGAGCACAGGAATATTACCAGCGAAACACATGACCGAGATCCATTTGACGCTAATTATTCAAACGATGCCAGCTGACATACTGCCGGATGAGCCAGTGCATCTTAGCGCATCACTTGTCTCTCTCTACACAGTCGAATCTACATACTCCTCATATACTCAGATAAGCAAAATGCTTCTATTAAATCACGTCATAGGCCTGATAGTTCAGTGGTAGAATTCTTGCTTTGGGAATAGCTTCATGGCTTCACTCAATTGTAAGAGGTCTCCGGTTCGATCCCGGATTAGGCCCTTGATTTTCTTTTTGATTTTTTTCTCTCTCTATTCTTCATCTTGGCCCTCTGGATCGAAGGAAATGGGTTGCTGGTGTTTTCGTCTTTGTTAAAGAATATTGGTGTTGTGGTTGTGGGGCTTGGCACGCGAGCAGTGCCCTAACATTTCCGTGACCCGAATGTTTACCAAAACTAACCGATTAGCTCAGCCACTCAAGCAAATCCATCTTTTTGGCCAAGATCGCGTATGTGATTCTCAGTTTTTGTTAGATTCCGATTGACTTGTTTTTCCAAACCATGATTCTATCGTGAGTCCTCAACGGGAAGCATTTTCCATGCCAAATTATTTGCCGGTCCAGCATTGGAATTGACCGACTTCGGTTATTGTGTACGCTTTCTAGTCCTCTTGGAAGTCCTTAAACTATTCGTATAGTAATATGATAAGACGCTCGGTCTTGGTGCGATTCTCTTCTTGCAGCCAACGTGTCAATCTGGCGTGAAAACTCTTTTACTCCAAAATCATTCCGGGTCTCTGGTTACCATTGAAGATGGAAGTCCAGATGAGAGAAACTTGTCGCATTGATATCGAGACATTCATCTCCACGGGACCACCAGAACTTTTCTTCAAAAAGTCACAGTGTAGAGGGTCTCGCTTTTCAAGCTTGTCATATCGTATTGCACGGCGAAGTCTGCGCGCAACTGAACGTTCCACCTTTCCAGCAACAAGCTGTTCCTTTACTGGTTTCTAACAATCTCTCGATTTTTGGGACTCCACATTCCTGGCAGGTCTTTCTTCGTTTTCCCTACTCCCACGTTTCTACCCCTGTCTCCTTCCATTGCCGGTATATTCCGTAGCGAATTTCCACACTCCTTCACGAACTTTTGTACATTCTCAGTAAGGATGCTTTGAGAGTCTGTCAAACGTTGTTATGGCCGAGCGCTTCTACGCCGGCTGGATAGATCTTCGTCGTCTGCTTTTCTTTTCTTTTCGTTTGACGTGACGTCCTTATAAGATGGTGTTCCGAGCGTGAATTTCTATCTGCGTTTTGAGATATAACCTCGGCCTCTTTATACTTACCTTGACGATCAAGGCATTCTACAAGGTTATTCATGCTCCTTAGTGTATCTAGGTGATCCTTCCCAAGAACCTTCTCCTGAAGCTGTAGCGTTTGCTGCCATAGTCCCTCTGCCTCGGCGTACTTGCCCTGACCGTTAAGGGATATTGCAAGGTTGTTCATACCCTTAAGCGTGCCTGGGTGATCCTCCCCAAGCACCGTCTTTCGAAGTTGTAGCGTCTGCCGGTGCATGACCTCTGCCTCGGCGTGCTTGCCCTGATCGTTAAGGGATACTGCAAGGTTGTTCATACTCTTAAGCGTGTCTAGGTGATCCTCCCCAAGCACTGTCTTTTGAAGTTGTAGCGTCTGCCGGTGTATGGCCTCTGCCTCGGCGTACTTGCCCTGCTTATAAAGGGACGTTACAAGGTTATTCATACTACTAAATGTGTTTGGGTGGTCCTCCCCAAGCACTGTCTTTTGAAGTTGTAGCGTCTGCCGGTGTATGGCCTCTGCCTCGGCGTACTTGCCCTGCTTATAAATGGACGTTGCAAGGTTATTCATACTACTAAGTGTGTTTGGGTGGTCCTCCCCAAGCACTGTCTTTTGAAGTTGTAGTGTCTCTTGGTGTATGGCCTCTGCCTCGGTGAGCTTGCCTTGCAAGCAAAGGGCTTGTGCAAGGTTGTTCATGTTCGCGAGTGTGTTTCGGTGATCTTTCGGAAGCACCATTTCTAGCAGCTGTAACCCCTGCCGGGATATCCCCTCAGCCTCTACGTATTGACCTTTGAGAAAAGAGGACCATGCTAAGTTATGTAGTAACCTACATAAATGCTCCTTTACCTCATTCGTTTCCATTGTTCTGATAAGCTCAAGGTCAAGAGAAGTAATAATGTATTGCGCATGAGGAAGGTATCTCATCCAAATAGCTCTGTTCTCGTGCTCAGGCCATGGGAAAACATAGGAGATTTTTATCAAGCTCTGTTGGTTCCAAAATCCCCAGTCGTCCTTGATCTTCAACCAATTTTGCATTGCTTTGTGAACGAGTGGATGCATATCGTACGAATCCCTGCTGATGCGTTCTTTTATGAAACCAAACGCTTTCAACGTACCAAGTGCCTCCGTCTTCTCGATTTCAGAAGCCGGAGTTAAAAGGTCTCGAGGAATATCCTGCTCCTTGATGCACGAAATGAAGACCATATAGTCCGCAGCTAAAGCGTCTCGCTTCTGGATTTGCTCAAACGAGATAAGCCACGTTGTTGCCACTGGATTCTTCATGCCCGGATATCTTCTTGTGTCCTTGAAGTCCTTGCTTAGCAGCTCAATAATATTGTCATTGCTCCCTTGATAGATCCTGAGGTATTCGGCGATACTACTGCTTTTAGCGTTCATGTATGCGGCTGCTTGCATTATTGCAAGCGGGAAATTGACAAGCAATTCCAAAAGTTTTGTTGCGCTGCTGTCATCATCCATGAGCCGCTTGTTTTGGAGATTTCGCCGGAGGAGATCTCTGGATTCTTCGTTGTTCATCTCGTTTGTGTCGATCACATTTGAGCCAGCATAGTTTGTTGCAGCCTCACGATCCCGAGTCGTAAACAGAATCGCGCCAAGTTCACTTGAAGGAAAATACTCAGATAGTCGGCCAGATACACTGGAATTGTTGTTACGGTGATAGAAAATTTCGAAGTCATCCGCGTTGTCCATGATCATAAGCCACTTGCCTGTAGTTTCTTGGGATAGCCTGGTTTGCACCAATCTTTTGACATCTGCTTTATCGTCTTCAATCCCGGGAATCTTGAGTCGTTGCCCAATATCGCGGTACGCACTACCAAAACTGATTGGATCACTTGCCCGGACCCAGAATACAGAAAGGTTTAGAATCAACTTTTGGAGTCGGAATGCGCACTCCAAGGCAATTTGGGTTTTGCCAACTCCGCCAAGACCTACTAGAGCTACACGTTGACAGTCCTCCTCAGTGTCTTCGGTATGTAGAATCTTGATCAAGCGATCCAAGTGAGAGTGGCGGCCAACAAAGTCTTTATTGCGACCAAAGGGTAGTACCCGAAGCGGTTTTGGAGGCTTTGGAGTGGCTGTTTTTGTATTAGATATGATGTTCAGAGCCATACCACAACATTAAGTCTGAATTTCTTACATCTTCACAAAAACGAAATTAAAGGGTATAGCAATAAAAATGTACATTCTGTAGCATACATTTATAAAAACAAGAGACATACCAAAGAAAGATTTCGACATATAGTAGAAGTCATAGACTCACGAGACATCTTTATCACTTCTTGTTCATCAATGAAACGGAGAAGAACTCTAGCAAATGCAGCAGCCGTAGCTGCAGCATAGGGTTGCCATATTTTGTTCTTGTGTGAATCCGCATAGTCACAAATTCCCCTGATCACAATACACCGGAAGTTGTCCATCAACCCGGCTGCCTCCATCTCAAAACAAATTACACCTAGGTCATTGGCTATCCTATCCCGTGTGACACCATGTTTCATTACCTCGTTCCCCGATGCAATATTCCCATAGTGTATCTTAGGAGAAGGATTGTCGCGGGGTAGTCTCTGCAAAATAGACTCAAGGTCGCATTGTTCGCAGGTCTCGTCGCCTTCATGTTCATATGTGGCCGCAAACAGCTGGTCGCGATCCGCCCCATGGTATCGATAAGTCCGGCCTATTCGCGGCTTGTTTTGAACCATGATCGAAAGACACTCTTGAATATCAACACCGTCTGTAATATCAAAAGTCCTCAACTCCTGCAACGCATTTAATAGTATTGGTGGTGGCTTATTTAGGGAGCCAGTCCGTCGAAACTCCCCGCCTTGTCCCACCTTTCCAAAATCCCATTGCACTACCCCACCATGAGCTCCTGTGGGTTGACTGACAACGATATCCCCAAGACGAACATCATCTCTCTTACTCCAAACACCACCACCTACGCCAACCATAAGGCCAAATTTGATCGGAAAGCTGCGTTGCATGCTATTGGCAACAATAGCAGCAGGCCCATTACCCATAAGGCCCGCCGGGAGGCAAGCAATAACAATGTTGTGAACCCCAATCTTGCCCAGTGTGTATTCGTTGTCATCGCCAGCCAACCTGGGTAACTTTGGATGGGCCTCATCTAGCATCGCTACCATGGCGGCCATCTCAGTTGCCAAAGCACATATGATTCCAATTTGATAGTCTTCGTGTGTTCGCAGAGGATGCGCCATGGTGGAGGATATAAGGCTGTCGCCCAGAAGCCGCTGATGGATGTCCCTCCTTACATGAACGATTGTCTAATGCAGAAATCTACTGGCAGAAGGTTAGCCTTGTGTAATCGTGGTATTCGCAACTTACAGCACAAAAATGTGGCTTCCGAGCAGTGCTTCGCAGAGCTGAGACTACCTACCAGTGGTAGATTTATTGACATTGATTCTACAGGTATAGTTGTGTTCGGAAGGCTAGAATCCATCCGCGCCTCACTTCCGAACAGCCAAGACACTCCGGGACTTCAGCTTCGCCTTCGGCATCGCGGCACAGCCCCGCTGACTCGCTTCTAATTGTTACAGGCTTCCGGTCCGCTCCCGGATTAGACCTTTCTTTCTTATCCGTTTTTAAATTTTGTAGGCGACCTCTGAAGAAAGAAAAACTTCGTGGCCGTCGTGATATTTATTTTCGAGGTTCATAGGCTGTGGTAGTGGAATTTGTGTGGTAAACGAATGAGCTTTTTCATCATGATAATTTTTATTTCGTGGAAGAACAAGACTTGAGAGGGGATCCATGAATCTTTTCTAAGATGTATCATGTGATCTCTTTGGTGTCGTTTGCGGTTTGTTTTATGTGCCTTAATTTCGTTTCTCCATAGTATATTTTGATAATTTCTGTTTCTAACTTAGTGTGAAGCTTACGATTATTTGGCTTTTCTTAAGAGAATCCTGATATAGATAGTAGGATTGAGGTAAGAAAAAATCTCT